TCATTTGAATTACTTCAAAATCAAGTCAAAATATACTTTTATTTTCCATAGAATAAATTAATACTTCAAAGTTATTTTCTTCATTAGACATAGTCCGTACCATGCTGCTATGCTCTAGAAAATTACTTTTGAATATATATTTCTAAAGCAATTGTAATGTCGACACACACGTTATTGTTTGGTTCTTTAAAGCTGTTTAACTATTTTGTACATGATTTGAATGATGTTTTGTCAATATATACTTCATCAATAAGTTTTAGTTTCACATCGCTGAAAACAGTGCTGATGATTGTTTTGTTGACGTAAATACAGCCTTTTGTGGTCTTTGGGTCACATGTGCAATGTAGCTAGCCCAATCACATTGTTTATCAGCTCCCCATGCCAAACCTTATCACCACTTGGTTATTCAATTATTACCTTAAGAAATATAGGTCCTATTTTATGCTACAGTATTTAGTGGTGGAAGAATATTTTGATTTGGGATTTGGGAATCGTTGCCAACCCCATGTTGGGCATTCTACAGACTGGAACCAAGAAGTGAAGGTGTAAAATTACAACACAGTAGTTTTTGTATTGAAGATTCATGTTTCCAAAAGGTGAAAGTGTCAACACAAACTAGTTTTTGTATTCAAGGTTCTTGTTTGAAGACTTGGCTAGGGTATGATTTATTATTATTCTTATTATTTGTTTGTTGAATACTTTTCTATCATGAATAGTAGTTTCATGATATGTATATCTGTATTATGAATTGTGTAATTCCTGATGATGACATAATATGACATAATATTGAATTCCAGCACGATGGGGTGCGTTTCGACACTTGGAGCATGGAGGTATAAAAATATTTTTATACCTCCATGCTTGGAGTATGTCTATCTTATATGAGTCGTGTCATGATAGAGGAATTATATGTCCTCCATGTTGTATCATGACCTGGTCTCATAGAAATGATACTATACCAATACTGTATAATGTTTTGTTGTATCATGAATGTGTCATGAATAAGGTACTGTAGGTATGTAACCTGAAAGTTATAAGTTTGTATTACTTGCTCTATAAGAATTTCAACTAGAAAGTTGAAGGATTAATTAATCATGCTTGATAATTGGACGGAACAGAAGTAATGAAGCTAAATGTATTGTAAACAGCTATATTTGGAGATTGGAATTGCTACAACAGTTGTGTCGTCACAACAGCAGTTGGTTCCCTTTGTTGTCAACCAGGCGTTGCCCTTCATTATGGCGGAATGACTTCATAATCTTACTGGTTTAGAAAAGGCTTTCTGGAATAGGCATTTTAAAACCTAATAATTTACCATAAAGATGTACTAAAAGTACAAAAGCTCACATTATATTAGTTATCAAACACACATTTAATCATATCAATTAAAAAAAAAAAAAAAAAAAAAGATACATCTTAATAATTACGTTAGAAATTGGGATCAATTGTTGGTCAGTAGGAAAATTGCGTCCAGTTGATAGCAACGGAGTAGTATTCTGTGGTATCGTGATGTAGCATTGTTACTAGCACTCTATAATTTTAAGCTGTAATTTCTGTTTTTAATCAATATACCTGTCTCTTATACACATCTAGATGTGTATAAGAGACAGACATGATATAGGCCAAAGTCATATGCACCGGGGCTAGAACAACTAGGGTAGATTGTATTCTTTTCCCCCGTGCCTTATTCATTATAATTGCGTCCGGTTGAATGCATTTTGTCGCCGATAGCAACGGAGTAGTATTCTGTGGTATCGTGATGTAGCATTGTTACTAGCACTCTATAATTTTAAGCTGTAATTTCTGTTTTTAATCAATATACTTATCTGATACGCTACATTCAATTGTTAAAAACCAGCTTTGAAAATAATGAGTATAAAAAAAATCATATTCTGTATGCCATTGTTGTAATAACAATTCTTAACATTGCAACCTTTGACCTATTTTTGGAGGTAATGAATTGGTTTTGAGGGTGTTAATATTATTTTCTTAGTTTTTGTATTATTTTGTGCATTTTGACACCAAAATTAACCATATACTGTATCATAGTAAGATACATATTTTAGTGTTTTATGTTGGGTCAATGATCTTTAACCCCAAAAAAGTAAGTACCCCACTCTCCTATCAACCTTTGTTTTGGTGTATCCTAGTATGTATTCCTACACAAGTAAATTGAAATAACATTCATTGTAATATTTTAAAAGATATACGCCAATATAGTGCCTAAAAAATACAATTTTTGACATTTTGACCTAAGTTTTCAAGGTCATAAAATGATTGCGATCGACTTTCAATGTTATTTCATTATTTGCTATATAATTCTAAGCATTTGACACCAAGATCAACCATATAGGCCTACTATAGAGTGTTCCAGAGATCGGTTTTTAGTATTTTAGACCTCGGTCAAAACAAAAATAATTAGAAATATTTTTTAATTTTTTTTTTTTTTTGTAATTTAGAATACTTTGTATGCCCGACACAAAATAAATAGATTTTAATGTCCACACAAAAGCATATTCATAAGAATTACAAAATTAATGTTATAAATCTAATTGACTATTCTGAGTACATATACTATGTTTGTGTCTTTTAATTAATTACACTAAAATATTTAATTTTTGATGTAGGTTCGACACAGTATGTACAACACAGTACATACTTCAATAGCAAAATGAATTTTAAGATCATGGTTCACATCAAATTATATACTGTAACATTGTTATTTAATAAGCATTCATATCAAGGCATGATTGGCACCTGCACGTGATATGCATGTACATGTCATGTACAGCTGCTGCCCAGGAAATTTACCAACTTTCTTATCATTGACTGCTGATACAAACTAATTGGTTTAGGATCTGAGTGGTTATAATTCCAAGAAAATCTGAGTGGTATATAATTCCAAGAAAAGTGTAGATAAGACACCTGAACACTGTTTCTCTAAAAGTAGTTCCAGTTCCAAAACATGCTGTTTCGAGCTTGTTACACACCAATGCACGCTACATCTTATCAACAGTTACGTCCTGCATCTTATTTATTTATTTTTTTTATAATAATTTTTATTTAATGTAAAATGGCATTGTGAAACACCAGTATGTTGATAGTGTACTGTACAGGTTTTTAACATAATTAACTGATTATTTTTATTATTATTTATTATTAATATTATAATTATCATAAGCATGGATGTATATTTTTAATGTACCTTCATGGTTTATGGAATTATAATTTGCTTCAGCTTTTCTCAATCTTTTGGTCAGCTTCTCCCTATGAAATCATGTTTGCATACAATAATTTACTGCAGCAACTAAGATTTAATGACAGAACCAAAGGATCCTAAATGAGTTAAGTCAAATTTAAAAGCATCCATTAAGTAATTCTACCAAAAATTAGTATTATAACGCTTATTATTATTATTATTATTATTACTGTATTATTATTATTATTATTATTATTATTATTATTAACAGGCCCACAGTATATTTATTATTATTTTATTACCGTATATTCCGGTATATAGCCGCAAATTTATTTCGACCCCTAAATTGGGAATGAGGCCTATCTTGTGTACAGTAAGAATGTCCCCAGTAAAAATGGCCCAGGAAAAAATGGCCCTGGTAAAAATGGCCCTGTTAAAAATGGCCCCAAATGACAGGTAGGTAAAAATTTCCCCCAATATTAAAATTCTGTATTAAAACTGATTTTAAAAAAATCATTATATGCATTTTTTTTTAAACTGGAATAATTTAATTTTTAAAAGGAATCATCATCAAATAAATTGCCATTTATATTTTACTTTTTGCAAGAATTACATATTCAAAGATAAAATATTCAAAGATAAAAAAAAGCCATGCATAACACTTTTTTTTTCCCATTTAAATGTTAATAAATAGCAACAACAATAGCAATCAATAAATCAACATAAATCATGCATTTATTAATACAAAAATAATTTATTTGTGGCCAAATTCGGAGGCGGAATCACAATTTTCCAGAAATTCAAAGATAGACAGACAGACAGACAGACAGACAGACAGATAGATATTCAATCCAGGTATTTGTAAACCCCACAAACAATGGATTGATATGAACATCAAATTATTTTTTTTTTTAAGAAAAAGAGAGTTCTACAAACATAATTAAAGTTTACATTATTTAGTATAGTTTTGAAAATAATAAATTGACAAAAAAAAAAATTATGGCCAATGGTTCTGAGCCAGTAGTAGGCACTTGGATTTAGTTGGCAGGGAGTAAAAACCAAGTAAGTTAAATAATTAAGTTGCTTAAATAAATGCATTCCTAATTATTCAGTTTACTAAAAACAATATTTGATTAATAAAGTCTTTGAAGTAACTCTAAACAGAACATTTATTGAATGTTTGTGAGAAAGTAAGCCTCTCCCTTTTCCCAAACACACAATTTATCCACATCCACAATTTTGTGGTTATCTATGAGTTGCATATTTTGGTAGTTGAAGTACTGTATGTATGTCAGGGTTCGAAATAACGCTGGTCCGCCGGCCAATGGCTAGTAAAATGTATGGCGGACCTGTTAATTACCCCAATAACAAGTCCGCATGACCAGTTAAAATTTCAATGAAAGCCTGACGAAATACCTAACGTTTTACTCATTCACCTCTTATCGCTATTTTTTGTTTATTGTCATGTTAATGTCAGCTACTATACGAACAGCCTTTGGGCTCAGTCATTCTAAGGCGAACAGCGAGCTAGGCCATGGAGGAATCCATGGCTAGATGGCTAGACGTACAGAGGGAAATCACCTTCTCCGCATGTTACAGCAACAAGGAGAAGTTGATTTCCGTTTGTGTGAGCACCGTGAAGTTAAAACATCTATGTCATATATCCATCCCACCATGCAACGTGGGACAACAAGTTAATAAACAATACAACGATTTCCGGACGAAATACTGTGAATGAACCATTCGTGCAGAGCATAGTCCCAATAGCGTTGTCATGGAGATTAACTATTAATTAAAATGACACACTCAGTAAAATGTTAGATAAAGTGGTAGTTACGCCTTCCGTTGTTTTAATAAAGTGCATTATCGCCTTATGAATACTTAAAAATCGATTGTAATCAACCTGATGAGAAAGGAACTCAAAGCAATTTTTTCTACGACGGCTCTTTTCCAGTAGACGTTTAATTCGGATTTGGTATGTCATTAGATTCATATGTCAGTCTACATGTAAATTACACTCACAATCCCCAAAAACATTGCTAATTACAGAGGAAATTTGCAGAGAATGAAATTTAAATTTGTTAGATTTATTTTAGATTTGACTCTAAAACAAAACCACGAGGGTTTCTTATTTATTTAATAAATTTGTTTAATTGTCAAGTTGTCACGCACTATGAAACTTTGGGCGATCTGACGTCATGACAGCCAAGCACATGGGATTTTTGCCCGGCCACATGACTCCACAAAAAAAATTAACCAATTAGCGGGCAGAGTTTAGGAGGCGCGACCTGATATTTTCAACGCATTTCGCATCGTGACCGCGAAGAATGTGTAGTGTTTACAGTTTAGAAAAAAATGTTAGACCGAAAATGCACGTAAAAACAATATAAAAGCATTCATTTTATTGGTACAGTAATTTAATTTGCTGTGCACTACAGCTAAACAACAGGTACTGTACG